ATTAGATCGGCCTTGGTCGCCTTGACCTTAGGGACGATCGATAAGCCGAGTACATCTCAATCAAGAACCGTATGGAACAAGGAAAAGAAATGAAACTAGAAATGGGCAATTACTTGTACGACGTTAGAGTCTCGGATATTGTGATAGCGATGAATGAGGAGGCATGCAGTTACATATCGGATGCTGTGGTCATTGCTTACACAATAAGCTGATATAACTGCCGCCCAACTACGTACGTCGCTGGTGGTGCTTATCAGTTATTCCTTCCGTCAACGGTCTCATTTCTTACTGGGTCCAACAGGCATGGCAGATGGCGCCATGCCCATGCAGCTCTGCAAAGGCTTTATGTTTAGAATATTCTACACGCAAAATTAGGAATTGATTATATATATAAACATGATGCAGTGCATAATAATTAAATTATTTAAGAAGAGAGTGATTTTCTCTTTAAAAAACAAGTATTTGGCGTGATCATGTTTAATGAATTCATGATTAGTAACGTCAAGTAAACTTTGTTGTCCTTGATTGAGCTTTTGCCAAGAGTTCTATCCCCCATCTTTTCGAGACCTCCGGATTTTTCTCTGCGTCCATACAATATACATATATAACACTAAATGTGTGCTGCGCGTATACACTTCATTTTTCTTCATAGCATAAGAATGCACAATAGCACGCTTCAAAACTTTTGCTTTCCTATACACAAGCAAACCAATATAAGATACGTAGTTTACAACTTTCCTTAATTTCTCATTCCATACTTCATGCTTACGTTTTGTGAGAAATTGTAATGTGATATTGAAAAACTGTCAAGCATATGACAACCTCGTATTTTTTTTTCAAATATAAACTCGTTGTCTATTCATATTGTATTACGTGCACTGAAATAAAGGCACGAATAAACAGGAAGTCGAAAATTCCTCCCACGTTAATCCCTTAATCGGCCTCTTGAGTGTGATTACTTAGTCAACCCTTGCTTAACAAGCAAAGCCTGAAATTAGTCAAGACCCCCTTCAATAATCGTTTTTTTTTTCTTAAAAGGGATTAAAGATGATGTATCCTTAATTAAGGATGATATATCGATAATTTAAGAAAGATGATGTATCGATAATTTAAGGAAGAAATATAGACTTTTATCCAGGGAAAGTATCCATCCATATACATTCCAAATCCAAGCATATATAGAGAAGATGCCAAAAGAAAAAAAAAAGAGAAAATATAAAATGACAGAAGGAACGTACAAAGGCAGAACAAAACAATAAAAAGTTAATTTAGGTTTTGTGGTCCTAATCGAGAACTTCTTGTGCATCTTCATGCATGTCTGTTAATTTTTGTAGGCCTACTAGATATTTTTTAATGTACCAGAATACGGGCAGATATGTCACATGTTATTATAGAAGTGGAGGTAAGGGTTTTTTTTTTTTTTTTTTATTTTTTTATAAATGTACATCTACTTATATTCTGAGCATATATACTAAATAATCTCCATAGCCTCCAAGTTAAACCTACCTCCGTTTCCCTCCCACAAACCACGTACACACGTTTACCAAAGGAAAAAAAAAACAAAAAACAAAAAAAACAAAAAAAAAGAAAAAGAAAAACCACTTACACACGTTTACCAAAAGGAAAAAAAACAAAACAAAACCACGCACAAATTTTTCTTTTACAAAACTATTTACAATATTTAAACTGCCTAATTTTGAAGAAAATAGATTATTCAAACTTGGTCGTAATCATGTAGTAAGCGAATATATTATTTTGATCAAGTGATTTAACTATTTGCACGTCTACCAAAATAAAAAGAAAAAGCACTCACACACTTTTCTTATACAAAACTATGTACAATATTTAAACTGTATAATTTTCAAGAAAATAGATTATTCAAACTTGGTTGTAACCATGTAGCGAGCGAATATATTATTTTGATCAAGTGACTTAACCATTTGCATACACTCTCTCGTTAGTTTGTCGTCTTGTGTTAGCCAGTTAATATTACAAAAAAAACAACTTTGGCTTCCTTAAATTTTTTGTTGTTGTCAGAAGGATAATATTATTCACACACTTAATTATTATTACTGTTATTTTCGACAAAAACAATTCAACCCACCACCAAACCATTCTCTACGAATACGCTACAACACTTTTGGGCTTATAAAAGGGCACTTTTACGGTTTTACCCCATTACTTACAACCGTATGAATACGAAAGTATTGATTTTCAGTTATTTTTAAATCAATTCTCTTTTGTTATTTTTTTTAATTAATTCTCTTTTTTATGTTGGATATTTGTTAATTAATTATTTTTAGATATTTTATTAATTAATTTTTTTGATTTCACCGTATGTATGAAGTATGAACAATCAGAAATAGTAAAGCGGGGAATAAAAGCCTATTATAATATATAATTCAATTAGCCTCATGGCACAATAGCACAATGTTAATTAATAAAATGAAGATATTTTTTAAACCCATAAATGTAGTGGGGAATAATTGGCTGGCCAAAGACACTCTACGTGTACCATTATTTGGTACATGGCAGGCATCCAAAAATGAAAAGAACACTATAATTTTTGAAAAAGAAAAGAGTACGTACACATCGAAAAAATTTCAGTGTGTTGTGACCACATCAATGATACACCAATTATCATAATACAATCGATTGAAATTTTTTTTAAGTGTCTAACTAATTGTATTATTACACATGATGTATTGAATATTGCTTATTAAACTTAATTGTGTACTTAAAGTTTCCTTTTCAATCTTGTTATAATCAACAAAATATAATGCAAGAGGAGAGACTTTTTTGTTTAGATGTGATATACATGGCTTTTGGAGTAGGTAATAGATATTTACAATTATATAATATGATAACCAGAAAATATCATTTCGGATGTAATATTATTGGGTGGTTATTTTGCTTTTGGAAAAGATATAATCAAATTACCATATAACACAAATCTATTATGTGAAATATCGAATACCACTTATAAAAAAAGAAAGGGTAAATTAGAGAAAATATAGTATATTGTTTATGAGTGAGAGATTTTAAGTTATTATTTTCGTTATAATATTTTAGGGAAAGGGATCCTCACTGGATCTCTTCCACGAAGTTCACCAAGGCCACAAATCCGGACCTTTAAAATTTGATTGAATGACTAAAGTTATTATAACTTTTAAAATAGATCACTGTTTGTAGCTGTTTGATCAAATTTCAAAATTTCATATTTATGGCCTTGGTGGACTTGGTGGAAGGGATCCCTTTCCATATTTTAGGTAAGTAATAATCTGACTTTTGGAAAGAAGATAAACAAATAACAATTCTACCGTTTGAAATATAGTACTAGTAACTTCTTCTTCTTTTTTTTTTTTTTTTTTTTTTGTCAAATACATTAGTAACTTCCACGTAGGTAATTCATGTGCTCAATTGAAATTACATCATCACCCTTGGTTATAATAATAATAATAATTTTTTAACTCATTTAATATAACATGGACATAATACATTTATTTATTTAATATTTTAGGTTGTAAGTTGTTTGAATTTAATAATGTTTCAAAATTATTTTTAAAAACTATCTAAAATAATTAAATGTGCTCCACTTTCTACATCATTTTCTTGTAGTTTTGATTTAGAGCAATTATCTTATTGCTTTTTAGAATAAAAAGTTCTAAGAATTCACGTATAAGCGGTTGCATACATATATTTAATATTGAGTATCTTTCACATATTTGTTAAATAAAATTATATGTTTTGATAAGCAAATTAAATATTTATTGCACAGTTTATATTAGAGGAGTGTTAATCTCATTATCTTATGATTGTTAACAATTCAAACCCTCTAATTTTTGTCTTCCTTGAAAAGTAAAGTTACGTTCGAAAAAAAAAGAAAAGAAAGCATCATGTGCCGTATTAACACAATGAATGGACTAGTGAATCCGTTAGTATTAAATTTGACTTTATGTAATAATCATTATTATAATTTGACCAAAAAAAAAGTTGTCCAAAGTTTTACTAAAATTTTGCCTAATATTGTAAGTACAAAAAAAAATCCAAAATTTTCAATATTGACAAAATGCGCATGAAATTTTGAAGAAATTGTGGAAAGATATTGCTTTACCTTACTTTCGAATATCGGCAACCCCACTTTACAGATATTTCAATAGGATCGAAAATATTTAAAACCTTGCTTATACATGATTTATCAATATTTACATGTTGTATTCATTTTATTTATATCCATATTTACAAGTGTTTAAACTATAAAAGACATACGAAAAAAATTGTATCTATATTATGCATCTTTTTATTTATTGAAAGTGATAACTGTAAAGTATAAATGACACGTTGCATTAGTACTCTGAAAAAAAATTAATGAATCAGTTACTCTGTCAGTGATTTTGCGAGCAATAATTACAAAATCCAGCACAACGGGTCTATGTTTGGTGGCTTATACAAAGTCAGCTCTCTTAAGAAGAGGTGAAAAAAAATAAAGTAGATTTGGCGTTCACCAAATCCAGAGGTAGTTTTCTCCCTTTCGACAACGCAAACCAGAAACCACAACCAGATTTCCAATATCAAAATCTATCTTACATAGTGGAAGGAAACTTGAAAATTGTGTCTTTATTACAAAATTCGACAAGATGATCTGTGTGTATCGACTTATATAAAGTCCGATTTCTCAAAAACAAGTGTAAAAATACAAACAAATTCCGGTTTACCCAAATACAGAGATAAGTATTCTCTCTCCACAATGCAAACCAGAAAACCACAACAATATCAAAAACTAGGTTGGATAGTAGAAAGAAAAGTTGAAAATTAAAACAAATAAAAAGAAAAGAAAAAGAAAGAAGAAAAATCAAATAGAAAAATTAGTGTAAAATTCATATGTAGTGTTGGAGATGTGAAAAATGGGGAAAGAAGGGGCAACATGGGAAGAACAAAGAAAGATAGAGAGGAGGGAAGTGGATAAAAATCCGCTGTTGGAATAGCCCACTGGAATGCCAATTCATGGCCCCTGGTTTTCCCTCCCTCTTTCCAAAGCCAACTGTCTCTCTCTTTCAGCTAACCCAAGTCCCTTTGTCCCCTTCTTTTATACCCATTCAACCCTCTGCCCCTTTCTCCAGGAATTCTCCTCCTTCAACAGAGCTGCCAGATTTCACATCGATGTCCTCCTTTTACCACCCATCATTCTCCAGTACAAACTAACTTTTATCATCACTCCCCACTCTCTCTCCTCCCATGTTCCCCTGCTCTGTTTTTTTGTAGTTCTAATCCAGTTTCGTACGTTTTTCTTAATTGGGTACGCAGATTGCAAGTTTGATTTTTTTTTGTTTTTTTGAGTTTTTTGAAGTACCCAGATCGAAAATTTCATTTCTTTCAAATGGGTTTTTGTGTTTTGATTAAAGGGGGAATTTTGGGTGTGAATGGGGATTGAGATGGTGGCGCCCAATCGCAAACGCAATAAGGAGTTTCTGGAATTGGCGGAGGTGACGAATTCGAAAAGCAAGACCAGAAAGTGCCGGCGGCGTCAGCGGAAGATGTCGCCGGTTCAGAAGCTGTACGAGACTTGCAAGGAAGTCTTTTCGTCTGGTGGGGCCGGGGTTATACCCCCCGCTGATGATATCCAACGGCTATCCTCTGTTTTGGGTATATACTTTTATCTCTGCTTTTGCATGATTGCCTGAATTCAAATTTGTTCTTGCTCTAATTAATGCTTTGTTCATGTGTGGTGTGTCAGAATTTCATAATTTGATTAGATTAAAGCTCAATTTTGGTTTTTTTTTAATGAATTTTGAAATTGGATTGAATTAATCATTCTTCTGTGTGGAATTTGCATTATCTTGTAGGTTGTCTGTTATCGGCCAGTGCCTCTTTTTTTTTTTTTTTTTTTTTAATTTTTTAATCATATCTCTGTCCTTGCATCTGATACTTTCAGTTTGCGGCTGTATGCATGCAGATTAGTGTATGTATATATGTCTGTGTATCTCCTCGGGGTTGGGGATACAATATACTGTATAAAAAAATGTTTGTGACAGAACATGTGTGTTTTCATGCCGGAGGAGGTCATCCATATTTGCATGGTTTCATTTCTTTACATCTGGATTCTGTTTTTGTTGCACAAATGGTATATTGACTTGTCTTCCGATGTTGTTTGCAATCGTTTTTCTTTCCTCTTCGGATTTATTCCCCAATGTGGCTTATAGGGTTTGGTTGTTTTGATGCAGGTGCCCTGAAGCCTGCTGATGTCGGCCTGACTCCTGATTTGCCGTACTTCAAGATGACAGTAGCTAGACAAACCCCGGCAATAACCTACCAGCACCTTTTCCAGTGCGAAAAATTTTCAGTAAGTTTCTTCCTGGTTAATTTTCGCAATCTACGGAGTGAAACCAGTCGGCGTGGCTTTTGTTCTTATAATGTGTTACCTATATGCAGATGGGGATATTTTGCTTGCCGCCTTCCGGTGTCCTACCGCTTCATAATCACCCTGGAATGACGGTTTTCAGTAAGCTTCTGTTTGGGACAATGCACATCAAGTCCTATGATTGGGTGCTTGGTGCCTCGGAGAAGACATTGGCAAGTGCCCTGGAGGAAACGTTGGCAAGTGCCCCGGAGAAAACATTGGAAAGTGCCCCGGAGAAAACATTGGCAAGTGCGAATCCTTCATTAGGTAAATTCGTCCTTTGAAATTTGTATTATTCTTAACCTGTATGTAGAAAGTGCGGACTTGATTGGGGTCGGATGAGACCAAAAGACAGGTGCCACGTGCTTTTGTGAGCTTCCCTACGGATGATGTGGTCCGGTGTCCCTACACAAGTTTTTCTGTATATTAAAGACACAGTATGAGTTATCGCGTAGTATTGCATCTTACTTGAGATAACCTGTGGGACTTGATGAGAAATCGCCCATTTGATCTTTGAAGAGTAATTGCTTGTGGCATCTTGAACTTTTAGACTATTAGTTTATGATCATGACTTTTGACTGCTTAACATTTTGTTATGAAATTATGTCACGAGGACCTTCGGTTGTGAAACTATTTTATTCGTACAAAAAATATGCAGTTGGTTGTTCTCTCGTTCAAGCACCGCCTGGTGTTCGTCTGGCTAAAGTTAAGGTTGACGACAATTTCACTGCTCCTTGCGACCCTTCCATCCTCTATCCAGCTGATGGAGGCAACATGCATTGCTTCACAGCAGTGACAGCATGCGCAGTGCTCGATGTGCTTGGCCCTCCATATTCTGATCCTGACGGTCGGCACTGCCAATACTACATTGATCACCCATTCTCTCGTTTCCCAGGTATCAGTGTGGTTAGATTTTCCTTTCCAATTCAAAAGTGAGAGCCCATCTCGTTAGAACTTTGAGAAATCTCGACGACGGTTCTGTTTTTGAATTTCAGATGGGGGAGTATCTGTGCCAGAAGATGAGAAGGACGGCTATGCTTGGCTTGAAGAGATAGAGAAACCTGAGGACTTAGCTGCAGTTGTAGCCGAGTACAGAGGCCCCAGAATACAGGAGAATTGATGATCTCACCAATCTATATCTCTGTCGTCATTCCATTTCACTTGTCCGCATCTCCATTCCATTTTCCCCATTCACCCATCCGCAGCCGCCGCACCACAGTTCCGTCGCTTCCATCGATGCCATCAGTGGCTGCTGCTCAATTCAGTGCAGCAGTAGTAATGCTTTTGTCTCGTTTTGTTCTTTTTTTTTTTAGCTCTATGTTTTGTTGTTTTTTCTTCTTTTTGGTGGGACATGAGGAGGCACTTGGTGCCTTATTTTTTCTTCTTTCTACAGTTAATGTACATACCCAAAAAAAGAAAAGCAACAAAAAGAAGAGAAGGTCTCTTTGTTCCAAGCGCGCTTGAAATTAGAGGATGAAAGTGCATTAGCACTCTTTTCATGATTGGTTTTTTAAATTTTACACTCTCTCTCCCCCAAATATTTACTTGGTTAGTTTATACTTTACGATGATGTTATTGTTCATTTTTCAGTCAGAGATGATGCAATTTTCAGTTGCAGTCCAAATCTGAAGATCTGTGGTTTGTCTTGTTTTCATGAATAGGGAATTGTGGTTTGGATTGTTTTGTTGTCACTTGTCAGAGGAAAAGAGTGCGTGCCACCCGCCCTAGCCATTGGGAGAGATCTTTGCCGTTCCTGTAATCACATTCGTTTATTGTACATCTTGCGTACATCTTGCGGTTAATTTTTATCAGGTATTGTTTATATTTAATTTTAAATAAAAAAATTTATCATATTTTTTGACATGTACAATGAACAGATGTGATTGGAGAATTCCCAGAATCCTCACAAAGAGGATTTGGTGAGGATCCTCCTGGCTAGCCATTAGCTTGTGGGGAGTCCTTCCGGTGTAGGTATGCTTATAGGGGGTGTAGTTGGAGAGATACCAACATGTATCCTAAACCCCAGACGTCACAGTAGCAGTATTTCAAAGTATTACTGTAGTGGTATTTCAGTGCTAATGTAGCGGTAGTTCAAAGTAATAAGACACAACTATGTGTCTTAAGGTTTCTCGGTATGTTATTAGTTTGAGAAATTACCAGTGATAGTTAACTAGGTAAGCCTACAGAACAGCAGTCATGGATGTAGTCGATTTTCGATGACTTTGTGATAGTAGTTTGAGAGGCTGTCATAACGGTATATCTTGCATGTAAGTTTCTTTTGTGTACGTGTAGTATCTGGTGCACGTAAGTCTCTAATGTGTACTTAAAGTACTCGGTGTAGGTAAGTGATCTCGCTCCAATACTTGGGCTGGACAACGTGACGTGTGGATGACATATGTGGTAAACGATAATTAAAGTCAAAAGTGAAGTTGTTGGTGTTGCGTGGGTCATAGGTCATGTATATATATATATATATATGAATATGCATGATCTTAGGTTATATATCAACGGGAAAACGAAATGATGATGTTGATGATCTCTGATGGGAGTGATTTGTCGGACCTGCCCTTAGAAGATGGAAAGGGATCATCTTCTTATCCCTTCCAACTAATCTTTTTCGTCAAACAATCTGAATCATTGAAATTTAATTCAACGGCTAAAAATATAAGCTTACTTTATAAGTTACAATAATTTTAGCCGTTGGATTAAATTTCAAGGACTTAGATTGTTTGATGAGGAGGATTAGGTGGAAGAAATTCAAAGAGGATCCTTTTCCTTTGAAGATTGGGACATGTATATGCCTTTGGAGTTTGGAGACAGCTTCAAGGGACATGTCTATGCTGTGACGTGTTTCCATGGGGAAGCACCAGCACCAGCACCAGCACCAGAGAGAGCTGCATCTGCATGCACGTGTAGAGAAATATGAAGAACTGATTAGATACAAAGGGTTTCTTGAAATCGAAAAGCTAGCGAACATGTTTTGCATATAAATTACCCTTTCATCTGCTACTAATTACCAGGAGTAGTAAAGTAATTTAAACAGCTTAAATTACTAATTAGCTAGTAATTACAAAGCTGTTTCCAGAAAGATGATATTTCTAATTTTGTGAGCTGTTGGAAAAGCCCGTACATATCATATTCTCTCTCTCTCTCTCTCTCTCTCTCTCTGCTAAACCTATATTAGGGTTTGTAAGTTTGCGCGTGCGTCACATAGACTCGTGATGATATCGTTCAGAAGTAGGTTATCTGCATGGCTGCAATGACTTGGAAGTTTCTTTGACAATATTATTTTTATCAAGGTACAAGATTCCTGCACTTAACAGTATTTATCTGCTATACATATTATAAAATTTATAGACATCGATTGATTAAGCTTGGCAGTACTACAAGAAGAGTTAAGAAGAAACACTGGAATCAGCAAGTGGTATGACTGTAGAATATCCTGATCGTCAGGATATTCTTCTTCAATTCATTGCATATCGCATTCAAACTCTACCTCGTGTACGTTTCACGTGTCTTAACTTTTTAGGCATGCTGCATGCATTCTGGGCCCAATGGGTTCACACTTCGCAGATTAGTAACCAAGCCGCTGTGTTTGAGACTGAAACAAGAGTTACCAACTTGCCAAGGTGATAGCCCCACTTCTTGACCGGCTAAGCCCACAACTCTAGACCAGATACAAACTCTATTAACTCTGCTAATTTAGCTTACTTGCAAGAGGAAAAACTACAGAGTTCAAATATCTATAATAGCAATAGCATGTTTAGTAATTCGTAATCGAAAATAAAATAAGGAGTTTGTTTGGACTACAGGTTGCTCCACTGTTTACTGACTGTGTCAAAGCAAAAATGATAAGTAGTACCATAAGGAGTAGAGAAAGACCTAATTAGTAAGATTTTGAAATATACTTTAAGAATAAAAAAAAGCATTAAGTATTTGGAGTTAACGAAAAACTTGACTTAAAACTGAGCGCAATAATGTGCTAGGATTCATGCAGTCGAATTCACTTAATAAGATAAAACTTTATTGTTGTATTACTTTTCATAATCTATAGCATCATCAACGTTTCAATAAAACATGTTCATCAATTCCAACCCAGATAATACGCAATGAAAGCTACTTTTTAATAAAATTAGTCATATATTAGTGATAAAGTTAAACGCCTCCAGTTGCTTAGGCAATCCATATGGAATACAAAAATGCAGATTAATATTAAATCAGAAGTTGATTGATTAATTCAAGACGGCTAGCTAGCTAATTGAAAGCATTGACATAGTTGATTATAATAAGCACTCCATGGCCTTTCTCTTTCCATACGTCAACTAGTAAGACTTAAAAAATCTTATGTCTCGACAACCTAGTGCAATTAAATTAATGTGACCTCTCTCTCTCACTCCCTCTCTGAGTCTTCAGTCTTCAGTCTTCAGTCCATGATTTACAGAGTGAATTTGTTTGCAAGTGCCAGTAAACTTCATGCTTCCCTTATGTGCAAGACTATCAGTCTATATATATGAAGTAGCATCACTTACTTTTATATATTTTTAACACATATTTTTTGTTGTGCTCATTTAGTAATTTAGTTTAACGACCTTAACTATCTTTTAGAAAACTATTCATATGGATTATCCTTGAAAAAATTAGAGAAATCCAAAATTATTAGGACATTCATTTGTAGTGAAGAAAATGAACTATTATGGTTTTACAAATAACCCCTAAACCATTAATAAAATGGTAACATGGTTTCAGATTTGGACTATTTTTTGTAGACATGATATTTGAGGGAAAACATAAAAGACAACCAGTTTGAATTGTTAAATACATTACAAAATGAGTCTCATATTGTGCATTAAAAATTGTGTAAAAAAATAGTATCATGAATCCGCCCTCGTATGTATATAATAGTAGTATATATACATGTTGGCGCATGAGTTTTTACATATTTCTTGGCCGTACGACTGAAACTTTTTAATGAGGCAGAGCAAACTGACAAACCCATTTTTATGTTGTTTCAAGACCCAATTAATCCACGACATACCTACAGACCTTGAAGAGTTGCCTCCATTATATTCCTTTCCCTTTCCTTATCAAAGTAAATTGTTTAAAGTTAATTAAGGGGGGTGAATGGCTCCTTACGTTATATAAGTTAGTGACTCCATCAACCCTATTCGAAATATATATATATATATATATATATATATATATATATAAAGAAGTTGGAGACATCATGCCTTGCATGCTATCACGATCTTTTTTTTTTTTGAACAAACGATATTCTCTACACTAAGGAAAAGGGGTGGGTTTAGCCTCACAATGGTTTAGCAATAATGTGGTTCAATTTTGTTTTTGGCGAGAATCGAACTTAAAACCTCTTACTTACAAGTGAAAAGTAAAACCACTAGATCGTAGTACTAAGTGACGTTACCACGACTTGTTAGAAAGCTGCTCTCGTAAGGTCTTTATTTTGAGAACTTGTGAGAAGAAGGTTTCACGTCATATCAAACCCTTTTCTTTGCAAAATTTAGTATTCTCCTCGAATATCTAAACCCAGCAAATCTAATTGCATAAAACCCTAATTTTATTAATAATATTCAAACCAGTTAGTTACAAAGCACCAAAACAATTGAGATTGTGTGGTTTCAATGTGACATTCCACATCGCCCAGGGGAGTGATCCTTGTATGTATATTCCCATCCCTACCTAGCACGAGGCCTTTTGGGAGCTCACTGGCTTCGGATTCTATCGGAACTCTGAAGTTAAGCGAGAAGAGGGCTACAGCAATCCCATGATGGGTGACCCACTGGGAAGTTGCTCGTGAGTTCCCAAAAACAAAATCGTGAGGGAATGGTAAGCTCAAAGCGGACAATATCGTGCTACGGTGGTGGAGCGGGCCCGGGAAGTGATCCGCCCCGGGCCGGGATGTGACAAATTGGTATCAGAGCCTAACCCTGGTCGCGTGCGTGCCGATGAGGACGTCGGGCCCCTAAGGGGGGGTGGATTGTGACATCTCACATCGCCCAGGGGAGTGATCCTTATATGTATATTCCCATCCCTAACTAGCACGAGGCCTTTTGGGAGCTCACTGGCTTTGGGTTCTGTCGGAACTCCGAAGTTAAGCGAGAAGGGGGCTAGAGCAATCCCATGATGGGTGACCCACTGGGAAGTTGCTCGTGAGTTCCTAAAAACAAAACCGTGAGGGAATGGTAAGCCCAAAGCGGACAATATCGTGCTACGGTGGTGGAGCGGGCCCGGGAAGTGATCCGCCCCGGACCGGGATGTGACATTCAAAGTATGGGATCCCCTTCTTCTTGAACACTTGAAACCTTTCTCATATGAAAATTTCAGACGAAGGTAAAAAAGTTGAAAGGTCTCCATTTTTCAAACATTAAAAGGGAAAAACAAAAACTCGGGTGAAGAGAAGGGGAGTGAATGATCGAGAGGGAGATATGGAGAGAGAAAGGAGATGTGTGGATTCGAGGAGAGAGATGGTAGGGGAAGAAGA